TTCCCATGTTGGATCACTCTCCCCTTTATTTACTCCATCGGTTAGCGTTAGGAGGTACTAGACTTGTCTATGTGTTCCCTTTGACTCCCAGTCCCTTCACCATGACCAACTGTGAACTGAAACTGATCACCTGGAACAGTGAGATGGCATTGGTACATGCCACCTCGATGGGATTGAATTGGAATCCCCTGGTATGCTTCCAACTCCACCACTTGGGGCAAGTCAGCCTGAGCATGTCCCAAATTATACATCTCTTCCCTCTCCCATTCCCACCACCATGTTCAACAGGGATCACATCAACTGATATTATTAAGAATATATTGTGATGAGATTCTGGTTTATTTCCAGGGACCAACAAACCAAAATTTTTACTCACCAAATTTTATTTCAGACATACTAGATAGATAATAAATATTATCCCATATCAGAGTGCCCTTTTGAGTCCTGTCTGCTCAGTTTCTGATCCAGCTCCCTGCTAATGAAGACTGGGAAAGTAGTGGGAAACCGCCCAAGTGCTTGGACCCTTGCCACCTGTGTGGAAGACCCAGATGGAGATCCTGACTCCTGTCTTCTGCCTGGCACAGCTCCAGCCATTTGGAGCCATTTGGAAAGTGAACAGCAGATAGAATGTTTCTGTCTCTCCTTTGCTCTGTTGTTATGCCTTTCAAAGAAATAAATAAATTCTTTTTATATAAGTTTTCTCCTTTCCTCTGTAAGTGCTTTACAACCACTTTATTAAAAAAGACACGAACCACTTTAAAAAAAAAGCACCAAGAATTTTTTTAAAAGATTTATTTTATTTATTTGAAAGACAGAGTTACAGAGATGTAGAGACACAGAGAGAGGTCTTCCATCCACTGGCTTACTCCCCAAATGGCTACAACAGACGGAGCTGGGCCAATCTGAAGCCAGGAGTCAGGAGTTTCTTCTGTGTCTCCCATGTGGGTGTAGGGACCCAAGGACTTGGGCCATCTTCCACTGCTATCTAAGAATTTTGTAAGATGTGAACTGCCAGTAGTGAGGGGACAGCTGGCTTTCTGGGCATAGAGGAATTAGCAGGTAATCCCAAATCAAAATGTGATGAGGGAGTGGTAGGGGGATGTACAGGAGGGAATGGCTGGAAAACTCATTGGGAAGATAGATGTGGTAGGACTTGCCAGCTGATGCAATGTAGGGGGTGAGGAAATGGGCCAAGGTAGCAAGACTCCCAAGTTTCACACTTGGTAACTGAGTGGATAAACGTCCAGTCAAAACACAGAAGAGAAGCAGGCTTGAAAGATGATTCCCATATTGTATGCATTGAGTTTGAAGTGCCTCTGAGATATCCAAGTAGCCATGTCTCATGAAACCCTGGAGGTTTGGACTAGAGCTATAGATCCATAGTCAGCATCCTGAAGTGGCGTGAGAAAGGCTGAGATACACAGGAACATCCTCCAAATTGTGAAGAGGCACAATCTACAGACAGGGAACACCAAGATTTAAGACGAGAGGCAGAAACCTGAGGAAGGAGACTAGACAGGCATGGAAGGAAGCAGAAAACAGGGGAGAGAGTGTTTGATTCAACAGTTCAGCGGACACCCTCGTGTCATAGCCGAGAGCCTGGTTCCAGAACCAGTTCTGCTTCCAATCCGGCTGCCTGATAATGCACACCCTAGGAAGCAGCAAGTGATGGCTCAAGGACTTAGGTCTCTGCCACCCACTGAGAGATCCAGATAGAGGTCCAGGCTCAAGGTTTTAGCTGTTGCAGGCATAGAAGATCTGTGTGTGTGTGTGTGTGTGTGTGCGTGTGTCCCCCATCCCTCCCCATTCCCGCCCTTTCTGCCTTTCAAGTAAAAAGAAAATTTAAAAATACAAATTCAGAAAAAAAAAAAAAAAAAGAAGATAGGGGCCAGATCCATAACAGGCTGCAGAGAAGTCAAATAGGATGACAACTGAAGAGTATCTGAGGACTCCATTGACCTCTACAGAGCGGGACAGTGACCTAATGGAGGGAGGGAGCTGCTTATTAGTAGCAGTGACTATGCTGGCCTTGACTGCCATGCCAAGCCCACCCATTTGACCCCTTGCCTTGCCTAATGAGAGCATTGTCCCTGCTTCACATATGTGACAAGCGTGAGAGTAACTTGGCAAAGGCACCCGGCTGATCTGCAGGCCATATGAACTCTTGTGTTCCCACAGCCTATGCCCTGAACCCTGACTCTCTACTCCCTCCCCTGTCATTGCACAATAGCCTGACTTGTCAATGCACTTTGTACCTGCTCATTATCTCATTTTAGTCCAATCACCACCACATCTGCAGTTGGTCATCAGACAGCAAGTGAGACCAGCTGACACCAAAGCACAGCTTACATGTGCTTGAAACTCACACTAAGACAGCTGCCAGAAGCTGTCCCATCTTCTCAGGAGCTCCCTCAGTCCCACAGGTACCATTGCGCAAATGGGATGCCAAACACAACATGACTCCAGCTGCCAACCCTGCCCACAAAGTGGGAAGAGATGTGTGGCACTTCCTTACTCAAATACTCTTGTGAGATTCTTCTGGATCCAAACAGATTCACTCTACTGCCTACTACCTCCTCCCAAGCTCTTTGCTATTCTTTCGCTTCAGTGCCATGCCAGACATCAGCTGTTCTGTAGCAAATGCAATCTGTTGCATCAGGTGCCAACAGAGGGCTTCCCTACCGAAAGCCAAACAATCGTGTCCCTGGAACCTGCAGAGCTCATTCATGGGAAATTACCATAGTCACACAAGAAGCAACCCTGAGAACTCATGTTTTTTGTTGTTTTTGTGTTTTGTTTTTGCCACTAATAGAAAAATCATGCTTTATAGACACTATTTAAATATAGACGATGTTAAATATAGATAATATTTAACAGATCCAATTAACTATCCACCTAGGAAATAAGAATATACTCAACAAGAAATATTTCTCTCACTTTCTCTTTTATAGATAAATATGACTTTGGAAAGACTCAGAAATGCCTCCATCAGCCCTAATCTTTAGATGGGTGGAAAGACATGGATTCACACCACAGGCTTCCACTGACCCCATGGCTATTTCACTCAAGATGTATGCTTGCCTAGTGACTCTTTGGGACAACAGGGGGTCCCTGCCTTTCCTGGTGTATTTAGAGTGGGAGCAAATGACTGTAAAGCTTTGTGATTCTCAGGTTTGCTTCTGCTTCTTCTAAGTCAGTCTAGCTTATACATGCATGGCTTCTTTTCCAATCTTCACACGAGGGGTAGCCTTTGGAAAGCAGAAGGGGGCCTGTTCTCTCCCTTCCCTTCGTTACGAGGGTTCCTGTCCGAAGTTTCTCACACACGGGGAGAAGAACTGAGTTTGGGTCCTGAATGGTTTTTGATCATAAAATATAATAACATAATTGCCAGTACTAAAACCTAATTAGGGACTGGTTCTTTAAGGGGGGAGGGGGGGATTGCATCATTAAAGCGAACTGTCAATAGAACTTGCCTTACACCATTACTTAGATGTGAATTTCAAGCTGGGTTGAACAGGAGAGGGACAGACCTGGCCCTGGAGTGGGATGAATGCAGGCAGTCACACCCGACCTGTGGCTTGGGGACCCCACCAATGCCAAAAGAGCCTAATGAGCAACCCTGTCCATTTCAGCACCACAAGTCCCGAGCTCTGAAAACCCAGTCCCATGAACAATTAGATGTTTGGTCACCCTAGAAAGGAGCCAACTGGTTGGGCAGCCATGAGGACAAAGTTATACCTCATTGGTTAGGACCTTCTAAAAATTTCCAGCTCCCTTAATAAAACTAAATCACATACTTGAAGGCTACTCATGAAAATACAATTCTCTGTGGGGAGGAGACACTCATCCCAAAAGATTCATGTTCCCTGAAAGGTGTTCCATAGTGACCAATGCTGCCAGCTGGGCTTGGAAAAGAAGGAGGCTGGGGAAGGAAAGAAGGTAGGAGAGGCAATCTCCCAGACTGTAAGTATCCCTGCCTGGTTTTGTTTTGGTTTTGGTTTTGGTTTTTGTGCATGTGAAGAACTCAATGCTCTGAGCACTTTTTTACTCAGGCCATTTTTTTAAATATTTATTTTATTAATTTGAAAGACAGAGTTACAGACAGAGGTAGAGACAGAGAGAAAGGTCTTCCATCTGCTGATTCATTTCCCAAATGGCCACAGCGACCAGGACTGGGCCAGGCCAAAGCCAGGAGCCAGGAGCTTCTTCTGGCTCTCCCATGTGAGTGCAGGGTCCCAAGCACTTGGGCCATCTTCTGCTGCTTTTCCAGGCACATTAGCAGGGATTAGAAGTGGAGCAGCTGGCATACAGGATGCCCTCGCTGCAGGCACAGCTTTAACCTGCCGTGCTACAGCACTGGCCGTGCTCAGGCCATTTCTTAGAGTTGTGTTTGAAGCCAGAAACCTGGAGAAAGGGGCAACATGTTTCCCTGTACAAAGAGCAGGCTGGCATCTGCTTTACAAAGCAGTGCATCTCCCAAGCTCGGGACTCCTTTCGTGTGTGC